ATGCCACAGGATTGGGCAAACCGATGTGATCTATTTGTTGTTGAATCGAGTAGCGTCTGCCGGAACCGCAAGATTTCTGAGATTGAAGAGTTGCAACTTTAGTGATGGCGCTGCTCCGAAAGGATCTTGGTCATGTGGGTTTGACGCAGTACACAAACGTGTGAACCCCTGTGCGGAAATACCGGTGGTTCCAACTAATCACTTTATGTCATTGTGAGTAGTTTATTATTTTACAGGAAGCAGGGATAGAGAACCGTGAAAGCGTCTAGACGCTTTGGCGGTGTTTGGTTTATCTCGGTATCTGAACAGCATGTCATGTCAGTGGATGCTTTGCAGACGTACGAGAGGGCGTCATTAATGACTTTTAAGTGACTGGCTGTACTTTTACAATACTTGAGTAAGGTTTTAAAGGCAGTGTGTCTTAAGAAAAATTACACCGGCGTAGGAAAGAACAGGGGTAGAGTGAGTGTTAGTAGACATGAACCCCAGTCTAATAAAAGGGTACTCGTCGTGCTGTCGTCGTTGCGTCACGATATATCGGATTTTATTCTTGGATACGAAGTAATCTAGGGCATATGAAACAATAAAATAACGATAAACACTAAAAATAATAGAAATTGAGCGGAGGGATGTGCGTTTGCCGGAGTAAGAATCTCAGCCCGACATTTCGGTGATAGTCACAATGAAGGGTTTTGCGAGCAAAGGCAAGGATGATTAGATAAGTTTAGAAGCTACTGATTTAACTATATAAGCAAAGATGTGAATTCAGGGAAGCCTCTGAGAGAGAGAGAGACAGACTCGATGCTCGATTCGCCTGATGTTTTGAACTTGTCCTCGGATAAATCATCTGGGGCAATATCAGAGAGTGGGTAACCGGTTCATCGAATCTGGCGTAATAGCCAGCCGATCAATTGAATCGAAGGAGCTGGAGGATTATTTCAGATACCGCTGACTGGACACGCGTCAACAGCGAGAAGGGATAACGCTAACTTTCCGGTTGCGGTTAACTCGACGGGATCCGGCCATGTCTCCCAGTTTGACCAGACTGAAGGCGTTGTGCTTGAGTAAGGGTTCTCCAACCCGTTGTATTATGACCGGCGCATGATCTGTTCTTCTCCCGTATGCGGTATGAAGAGCGCCTGGGAAGAGAAATTATTCACAGTGAGCGCGCGGTTGAACACTGCTTTCAGAGGCAAGCCAAGCTGCCCAAACATTGGCTTGGATGTGTGAAATATGACAGGTGTGGTGGTCCTGGAATCGACGCCAATATCCCTGACTCATTGTGCCTTCGTCCGCCAACCCTGCATTTGCGGTGACTGTCCGTCTCTCGCTCCTTGTCGAGCCATTCTAGTTGTCTGCCTCTCGGTCGGATTGAT